ATGCTGAAGATAAGGGAGTCTGAAGACACTTCATGAACAAATATGAGTGTATTCTTTTTCCCTAACAAAAACAGTATGTGAAATTAGGTTCCTTAATGGTACCGATGCACAGGATTTCTGAATCTGAAACGGGGCAGGATTCAAAAAATCAAAAACATACTCTGTCATCTTTCCTTACACCAAGTGCTCTCAATTCATGTATTCATGAGAATTAAGAGCAGAGACTTTTGTGGGATGTTCAACCTTTTTCCCATCTAGTTTCCTGTTCAAGTTTTGAGAACTATACTAGACATGTAAAGCAGTCAGTCTTCGAAGCACTGTACCATTTTTCTCCTTTGGTCCTAGACAATACCAGGTTAAGAAAACAGTTCCCCAGTTCCCTCCCCAGACCGCAGCAGGGAGAAAAAGCGAACTGCTCAGCACAGCAAAGGAAGTTGGGCATGGTGAGAACGAGCACTCGGCAATTCATGTCTCGGGGGCACTGGACCTTTTCCAGTTTGTAGGAAAAACTGTCTCCTTCAGCGATGCAGGGTAGCGACGCTGCCACAGCACCATCCAGACTGCTCTGGCACGATGGCATTGGACACAAACCAGAAAGGACTGTTGCATGGGAAGGAACAGGAGGACCAGGACCCCACGGCACAGCAGCAGCCTGGTGCTCAGCATCGTCGGGACTCCTCCTGAACAGTGGGAAAAACACCTTTTGCTGTTTGAAGGCTTCTCTCCTCTGGCAAGTCACACGGCTACTGCCGCCGTCCCCGAGCGGTGAGTTGCAATTTGTGTTTGAACACTAGTCCTGCGCAGACACTAGGTCTGGATACAAACTGTACTTGTGATCGACTTGATTAAGCACCGATCTATCAGTAAGTCTGTGCGCTCGTGTGAGTAAGCTGCTTTCATGAGCCAGGTGCTGGGTTAGGGTTTTGGGGTTTTTTCCCTTTCACCAATGAACAAGGACAATGTTGAAGCGGTGTCAGACAGTTAAAATCCCGAGGGTTATGACAGGTGAAATACTATATATGCTGTTATGGAAACAGGAGTCTTTCAAATGATTTTGACATTGAAATTCTGGTTGTTAGGCCTTAGTGCTCTGTTTCTTCAAATCACTTTAGAACCATTAATGCTCAAAATATTCCCAAATTAGCACTATTTGCTGATAAGAAAATTTGACAGAGGATAAAGGATTTGCTGGAGTTCAGGTGGATTTTTCTTTCCAACATTTTTTATTCTAAATGGAAATGAAATGGGTATTTGTCTAAATCTGTGGTTTCTCATCTAAAAATCAGTCTGCAGTGGAACACTGGAATATGGAAATGTCTAAAGCTAACAGATAAGGCCTGGATGTGAAAAGCAGTTTACACCTTTGCAACCATCATGGGCAGAATAGGGCAAAGCGGGTACTGCTCACACCTTCTGTTACAGCCAAAGAGGGCTGGGCTGGCCTGCCGTGTCCCACTCCGACAGGCTCTCCCGGCACCACTGCTTCCTCTTCCACAAGCCCCCCTGTAGAAGTTCTTTCTTTCTTGCCTGAGCCTGATTGGGGAAAAAAAAAAATGTTCCTAGGATCAGAACAATCTTCAGCCAATATTTATCCCTGATTGCTTGTACTCCTCTTTCTCCTTGTGGCTGCATTCACCGGATTAAGCAGTATCTACCTCTCTCGTTATTATCTTCTTATAAAGGCATCACTCATACTCGTCTCTTAGGCTAGATCAGTCAAACTCTCCTGGTCTTATCTTGCAGAATTGTATCCCCTTTATCGATACCACTTTAGTGTCTTGCCTCAACATCCAGCTACTGCAATTTCACTTAATTATTTGGCCTCTGCACCGAGGCTTGAATACTTCTCTGTCCCAACTGGGAACTTGCCTCTGAGCACAAGCTGAGCTTTCATGATTCTGTCAAATTGCACCCAAGTTATCTTGTGGCAAACCCTATAACCAAGGTCCTTTTACTATCAATTAACAGCAAAATACTTTAATCTTCAAGTGCGTGAGCTGATACTTGTACTGTAAAACTTCATCCCAGTCACTGCATCCCCACTGTTCAAAGTTGTCTGGGTTTTTGTGTGTGTGCACACTGATCCTTCTCTAGATTCGTGCCTCCCAACCCAGCGTTAGCCCCAGCCTCGTTGTTCCTGTGCATCAGCGATTAATGAAAACGCAAAGCCATTTCAGTTGAGGCGGCAGAAATTCCACTTGCGGCTGCCACCCAACCCCACTTTCTTCTCAGTGCTGCCTTCTTTCCCTTAGCCAGCTCCTTACACACCTCATCATCATGCCGCTACTTTCCATTTTCTCCTGCGTGTTTTCCACATTTTTCATACCTCCAGTGCGTCAGATGCTCCAGATCTGTGCAATCTGCACTTGCTCGGTTGTGGCAGGCCTGATTCTTTGCTTTAGCCATGGAAATTCTGCATGATCCCCTCTCTTCACCTGCAGGTTGGCTCATGCACTGCCCTCTTTCTCTCCTTGAACCCCTTCTGGCCAGCGCTGGAGTCAAACCTTACAATTTTAGAGCACCAAACCCGTTTCACGTTTCTACTTCGAGGGGAAGGCTGCAGCGAAACCACGGCTGGAGCTGACACTGCACAAACAGGAAGAGTTCGGCCCTGCACTGCCAGCTGGAGCTGGTACCAAAACCAACTCCTCCCTTAGGGTTACACCAAAACCAACTCCTCCCTTAGGGTTACAACTTCGGACTCCTCGTTGCTCCACACAAGTACCAGAACCTAAACGGCCCAGCAGAACTTGGAGAGCTCCAGAACTACAGGGTGTAATAGAAAAATAAGATCATACCCTCTTTCCTTATAACATAAACCAACTTTTAATAATAAAAGCTCCTCTCAGGTTTTCCAGGAGAAAAACATACACATTTCGATGCAAACCAGAGCACAGTGTGAAGGCCCTCGGCTACCCCTCTCTGCTCTGCAACGTTCACAGTGACTGCGAAAGCGCGGGCCGGGGTCCTGGGCAGGCGGGGGAAATCACTGCAGTTCCACTGCAACCGGAGCTGGCGCCGAGCGAGCCAGGACTGTGGCCTAGGGGTTCCCTTTATTTTTGGGTGTTCCTAGAGTTCTTATTTTGAGACTACTCAGTGCGTTTTAAGTTGAGGATTCGGTAAAGGAAGATCCATTTCTTCTCCAAACAGCAAAGGGCAAGAATAACTCTAACAAGAAGTGAAAAACAATCCCAAAGTACGTTGAACTAACTATCTGCTCAGCTGGCTGCAGTACAAAGTGGACACTTGGTTACAAACCCCTCTGTCCGACAGCGGCGAGTGATGGGAGTCCTGGTTCCCTGCAAAGGGTTGCCGTAGGTCGGAGGAAACACGTAAGAGATTAAACAAAACACATTCCTTCACCAAAATTATTTCAGTCTGTGAGTGAAGAAAAATAAAATTAAAACATTAAGAAATAAGGTTGAGCCCAGTCTGCAGCCCCAGACTGGTTGTAAGCCATTTGGTGTTGATGTGTAGAGTAAAACAATTGGAGACCTTCATGTCCAAATGGAAAAAGTCTAGTTTTAATTTTTGAGTGGGTTTGGATGTTAATAAAATAAATGTAAGCCAGCTAAAAACCAAACAACCCCACAAATAAAACCCCCAAACCTTTTTTTCCCCCCCCAGAATGTAGATCACTGCAAAGCACATCAGGGTCTCCTGACTAGGAACTGCGTTGAGGGAGGCTGCGGGGAAGGAGCGGAACGGTCCGTTTCCCATACTCCCTCTGCATGACACCGGCTACAGCTGCCATCCGTGAGGGACGGGCGGTCGTACTAAGGCACTCACTCCGAAAGAACTTCACTTCTGTCCTGAGACGGCTGGCGTGTTTCCCTTAGTTTCAGCCAGTAATTTGGAATGAATTACTGTGTCTGGGATAATACTGACAGCATGGAGAACAGTTTTTCAAAAAAGAAAAAATAAAGTACATTATATACATGGTTCCTTTTATCTCTTAACTTAAAAGCATCCCTAATACATCTTAATAACTGTATTAAAGACTACTTAAATATGGAAAGATTTTAAATAATGTAGATTTTTTTCAGTAAACTGGGAGTAGCTGTGTAATTGCCAGCATGTTGGTCCCATTTTAAACAATATAACTTTTATTTAAATCTTGTATATATAACATGATCGAAAACACATATTCCACTCCACATAAATAAGTATAGTTCTTCTGACCTGTTTTAAAAACTACATCTGTTCAAATAATCAGATTACAAGCCTATTTTTCGTTTGTAAAGTTTCCTTCAAAATCCTTCACTCCCAATCTCTCCTCGTAAATGCTAGGGTATTGCCAGAGTACATCATAGGCCATTAGTAAAAAGAGTTAATCAAAACCTGAAAGCTACAGTAAGTAAAATGAAGTAATGTTAAGAAGTATTACGGAATGTATACTCTGCAGCATAGAGAGACTGGTTCTCACTGGGCTGAAGTGGAAAATTACTCCAGAAGAAATTCTGTTCATATTTGAATAAGCCATAGATTGTGCTATTCGTTGTTCCAAAGTGCGGGTCCGTTCATGAAAGGTGTGTTTGGGAAGCTACTGCTCGAGGGCGCTGACCAAAATCATGCCGGCAATTAAAGGGATGCCAGATGCAGTGCAGGAAGAGAGAGACGTATCATTCTGGATTTTCTTACCCAATTCGTGTCCTGAAGCCCCCAGCTTGTGGCAGCACAAACAAGTCACCAGTGAAACCGCGCTTCCTTGGCATCCGGCCGTCACCTTCCGAGGCATCTCGCAAATGGCAGTAACACCCCTCCTTGCTCTGTGGCGCTGGTTTCGGGGATTTCTTCACGAAGCTGAAGCAACACAAGAATCCCCACACGTGCTGCAGTAGTCCACAGCAGGTTCTTGGTGACTGGGACCAGC